AGGCGTAGAGGAAACAATAAGACGGCAAACAGAGATATGTTGGGGTTGAAATGCTTTAGCACATTCGAAATCATGAACTCTGTATTTCATGTGCTTAGAAATTATTCATGAAGAAAGCTCGTCTTGATTGTGCCAGGATCACCAGCTTTCTAAATTAAGGCACTGGACTCATCTTAATAGTTGTATAATACTTTGGTTTATAGGTTAATCGTCCCAACCTAAAACTCTCAAATCCAAAATGCTTCAGAATCCAAACTTTTCCCCCAAGTGGAAAACTCCACGCCTGACCCCTAGTGAGGGGTCACAGTCAAGATGCAAGTGCACTAAAAACATGACATCAAATTACCTTCAAGAGATCAGTGCAGTAGACAAGGGGCATTGAGGTGGAGGGAGGAGGGTTGGGAAAGGGGAGAACAGTGGAGTGGATCTGACCTAATGGGTATCCACAAGACACTGATTAAAAAGAATACCAGGTTAATACTGCACTCTCCTCTCAGAAGGCGTAGGAAGTGTTCCCTCTTCGTTTTGTTCTCTTGAAGAATTTAGATAGAACTGATGCTCATTCTTCCTTAAAAAACTACAAAAGGGATGAGTGAAGAGATATGAGCTTTGAGTTTTCTTCGTTAAAAGACTTTGCATTATGAATTTAATTACAAGAATATTCATTATTTTATGTCAGTTTTAATTAACTGGGCTTTACTAAGACTTTATGCAGTTTATGTAAGTTTTCAAATATATTGATACAAAGTGGTTCATAACATCTTCTTAATATCCATGTGATTTTAAGTGATGTTTATGTCTGTTTTTCTAAAAAAATCTCATCTGATAATAATCTGTTATGTAAAAATAAATAAATGTTAAAAACTACCTTCAGGCTGTGAGTATAAGATGGGCATGAAACATATATGAATTTCATGTTTAGAATTGTTTCCTGTCTCCAAGATACCATAGATATAAGCAACATATCTTTGAGAGCAACTTGACGTCACTAGATTATAAAGTGCTATATGAAAACAAGCAAATGACTGCAAAAGACTGCTAAATTCTTAAAAGTTACCAATTACATATGCTGTTCTGAAAATTTCCCTCAAATAAAATTAATTAGAATAACAAGTTTTCAATGGAGAAGAAGAGGAAGCCTTGAATTTATAATACCTAAATATCATAATAATAAACAGGACCTTTAGGAATTAGTTAATCAGTTTTTCTTTTCTGGAATAAGGTATATCTAATTTAGTGCTGTATAAGGTTTACTTTCTACGTGTTAATAAATGTTATTTTTTAGAAAGGGAAGGAGTAATTATGGGATGAAGTTAAATGGAACTTCATGTCTTAATATGTGAACACATCATCTAGAAAGAGATGGCATGAATGAATACTTGCTAAATTTTTAAGTCACAAACCCATTTATTTTCTTTTTGATATATCTGGAATAATACCTTTCTATCCTATAATATTCTAAAGACCAGCATATCACAAACTACATTTTAGGAAACAATAATTTAAGTAATCAAAAAAGCTGAGAGTTTACCTAATTTTGATAATGAATAAAATCAAAGATTTTATTCTGAATCTTATTTCTATGTTTAACTTTAGTACCCACCACATTCTCCTATAAACTATGCTTAAATTTCAGCTCCTGCAATATAAACTGTATGTAGTCAATAGGTATTTTTATGTGCTATCATAGTGCCAGAATCCAAAAGATAGCAGATATGTTCTTCCTAAAAGCAAGGTCTTCATCTCCCTCAACCTTCTGAATTCTATATTCAAACACTGCAATTCTTTTATATAATGGACTCAAACTCCCTTTCCTCTTTTTAAAAAAATTTTTATAGTTGTAGATGCACAGAATGCCTATATTTTATTTGTTTATTTTCATGTGGTGCTGAGGATTGAACCCAGTGCCTCACGCACGCATGCTAGGCAGGTGCTCTGAGCCACTGAGCTAAGAGCCCCAGCCTTCAAATTCCCTTTCCAATGTGCTTTCCATGGGGTAGCAAGTTAAAGAGTTGATCAGATCAGTGTTCTCCTTCTGCAAATGAGAAGAGTGAAACAGGAAAATAAAATTAGTTCAAAATTATAGACTAAAGATGGAAGTGACATCAAACCAAGACCAGTCAATGACCTTTCCTCAGCTGTACTAACCTGTTCCTCTGCTCAGTTCTGAACCTTCAGCAAGTTACTCAAATCCTGAGCCATAGAGTCCAAGCCTTTGAATAATAGCTTGACTGATTGTGAATAAAATGGGAGGAGTTGCTTATAGTTCCAATATCCAAAATTTTATCCAGGGAAGGTGGCTGGAATAGAGAGAAGCATGGATTTAAGTCCTCTCTCTGCCACTAACTGGCATAGAGAATTGGTGTGTATTTCCTAAACTGCTTGGGTCTCAGTTTACTCATCTCTCTAATCAGGTCATAATGCAATTACAGAAATGAAACGCAGGACTTTTAGGTTGTGTTTAATAAATATTGTCAAACTGAAAAGTGCATTCTTCGGATGGCTCAATGAGTCCACTAGGCTTAATCCCAACTTCTGTACATCATCTAAGGCAATTTTGGCTGGCGCTGCCTATACACTGCTCTCTTAACACAACTCTTCCCTGGGTCAAAAGAAGACAGAGGGTTCAAGCCACTTTGAAGACAGGGTAAAGAGGGTGAGAAGAAGACACCAATTGGCATCCCAACAGGTTGGCCCATTACACATGTATCACATGTTGTTTCATTTTATAGTCATATACTGTCGTATTTTTAAGACCTTTGAGAACAGGGAATGTGTTTTCTTCCTTTTTGTATCATTTGAACACATAAACATATCTTAATACAAAACCTCACATATGTTAAGCACCTACTGCCTACAGGCGAGAAGAAGAATACATAGATGGATGAATGGGTCCCAAGCTATTGCCACTTCTCTGGCTCTGCTGCTTTTCTCTTGCATTCTGACAGTTCTGCCTGTGGTCTCATGAAGTAGACCTGCCCCCTGCCTCTGTATACTTATCTATTTCCGTCTTCTGTTGGGCAGTTTTGTTTTTTCTCCCTGAATCAAACCACCAGCATTGAATCAAGACTTGTTACAAAACAATCCAGCCAAACAACCCTTAGGGAAAGAATTACCTATAGCACATCATACATTTGACAAAAAAAAAAAAAAAAAAAAAGCCAGACTGTGACTTCATCTCAAGTCAGAGCAAACAGCAGGGTTGTGCGATATGACAAAGGGAGGGGAAGGAAGTACTTGCACACTGTGGACCATTAGGCTGGAAACTAGAAAATGAGAGTGATACGTTAGTGTGGGCTTTGACACACTAGAAGCGCCTGCTGTCAATGAAACATTCGTCTTCCCATCCAAGCTGTAGTCTGTGAGGAAAGTTGCCAACCCTGCCCGCTGAGCGGAGTCTCATCACTGATACCTGGATGCTGCTTGCTCTACTTTATAGCTTATGACAAAATCTCCAATCAAAAGCTCCAGGGACTTGGGCTCTGCAGACACATGTCTCTAATTTCTCTTGTCATCTTGCAGGGAGTGGAGATTAGGCAGGCTGCTGACAGGTGGACTATGGCAGGGCAGTCCTTAAGGGAGATGCTTTGAGGACAGGCATCCATCAGTGTGTACAGGCTGGTTGGCAGCACCGAGGTGCCCACAGGGGTGCTTGTTCTTAGAATCTTGCCCACCTAACTGTCTACAGGGATCGTCCACTGGCCACTTTGATGCCTTATCTGCAGCAGTCCATTACACCGTTGTTTTATAGAACCTTGGGGAATTTTCTGGTTGTTCTATGTTTGTAGTTAAGATCTAGTAAGTCCCCTCCAGCCTCAAGCCTTCCCATACCTGCCTGAAACATGGTTTGAGATGACCTTGGAGTTGCCCTGGGGGTGGGGCTATTAGAGTCAGGAGAACTTGAATTCAAAGTGTAGATCCAACAGTAACCATATGATCCCTGGCAACATTGAGCATCCCCTTTGTATCTATAAAGGACCAATAATCAGGCCCTAACAAAATAATTTGTGATATAAAGGAATAATTGGAAATGAGCCCATTGTCTCATGAAGGTTGGTAGTGTAAGTCATGATACTTCCATATCTTGGGGAAAGCTCCTTCCCCATTTCCAATGCTTCTTTTGAATTTTTGGAGGGCTGACCTCACCCAGTAGGGTGACCTCTATTTCTCTCTAAACACTTTTCTCCATCATCCATAGAAAGGGGGGTTGACTACTCTCATTGATGAACTGGACATGTTCAGCCAGTTGCTGCTTCCTATGTCTTGGGACCAAGGTACCCACAGGGATGCTTGTTCTCTGGAGTCAGGACCTGCCTGGGCCCAAGGAAGGGGATTCTGGCTAATTCTAGAGTTCAGTGTTAGGTGGTCTGCCAGTTTCCAGATGTCATCTGCTACGCCCAACATCATCTATTTGTTTCTCACATGGTTTAGAACTCAGGAAGAAAGATGATAGTGATTTTGAGGGTCTTCTCACGGGGCCTTCCAATACGGTAATTAAATTTAAATTTACAATAATTTAATAGATATGTTTATTGACATAGAATGACAAAATTATATCCTTTTCATGCTGGTAGGAAAAAGGATCATGAAATCGAAAGTACCTCCTGCTTCTGTTTTTATTTAAAATACATATTGTTATGTATATGCAGAATGTTAATAGAAAAAATTCTGAAATGGCAACATAAACGTTTAATGGTAGTTATCTTGAGGCAGTATGATAATGGGTATTTTTTAATATTCTTCTTTTAGATTATGTGTATTTTATAACTACAATAAAAGTATATTTATATTTTATTAATAAAAATACTAAAGGAATTTATTTGTTTTTTTTAAAAAAAAAAAAAGAGTCATTTTCAGGATTAGCAAGAACAAGAGCATGGCGGCTCAGTGGTACACTGTGTGCCTAGAATACCTGAGGCCCTGGATTCAATCCCTAGCACCCTCCCACCCTCCAAAATTGTGAAAGACACAAATGTCACACAATTACCTTTCCAGAGTCTGTTGCGAAGATTGTTAGCGCCAGTCAGAGTAACTATTGATTTGGTAGGGGACCATCTGGTGTCATTGGTTTTAAACGGACAAATTTCCACAGGCTGCAAAGTCCTTTGAGTTTCAAAATACTGTCCATGAAAAAAAATAAAAATAAAAAAGCTACTTCAAATCTACAATGCTGTATGCTCCGTGTGTGTTATATAAAACCGAGTGACTAATAAACAGAGCACATGGAAATGTGGCACTGTTCAGCTGGAAAGGGTCTCAGAGCTGCTCTAGGCTGCAGGTGGGAAGGAGGGACACCGAGGCTCTCCTGGGCTTCCACCCTGGGCTTCCCCAAGGGCAGGCGCTGGTGATCAAATGGCTTCTTTCTCCTCATTTCAGTTCCTACCTCGGGCTCCATCCCCCATCCAAGGAGCTGCTGTGCATTCTTCAGCTTTGGCAGGACAAGTGACACCTTTCTCCCATCTCTTCTCTAGCTGGTGGACTCTGAGTGACTTTCAGAGCCACACAGCTGATGACAAAACCAGACACCCAACCCTCAGCTCAGTCCCAACTTTTTCTTAGTCTTTTGTGTAAGGGAATCACAATCTTAAGTACCTTGGCCTCATGCAGGTACTTAAGACAGGATAGGAGAGGGGCTGTTTACCTGCCTTCCAGAAGTTTGTAGATGAGAGTTATTCTGATGTGGCACAAAATGCTGAAATCACAAACTGTAGGAAAAGAAAAAAAAAAAAAAGATTGAAGGCTCCAACAGGGAATGGAGACATATCATCATTAGAAAGATATGGAAACCCAGCACTCAACCTGCTACAGTGAAATCCATTATACATTATAACTATAAGCTGAGCACATTGTTAGCCAGGTTTTCATTGCCGTGACGAAGATACCCGATAAGAACTATTTTGAGGAGCTTTTTGTTATTTTGAGCTCATGGTTTCAGAAGTTCAGAACAAGGTGCACCAACTCTACTGCTCTAGGCCCAAGGTGAGGCAGAAGGGCCTGCTGGAGGAAAGCAGCCCACCTCATGGTGTTCAGGAAGCCGGAGAGAGGGAGAAATCAGGGCGGCAAGCTCTAATCCCCAAGGACACAACACCCCCAGAGACCTACTGCCCCCAGCCATGTCTCACCTGCCCATAGGTACCACCCAGTACAAATTTTCAAATTACTAATTTACAGAATGGATCAATCCACTGGTTAGGTTACAGCTCTCGCAGTCTAATCATTTCACCTTTGAACATTTCTGAATTGACCCAGGATCTTTTGGGGGATTGCCTTATATCCAAACCATAACACACCTACCAAGGAGTTCTCTAAGTGTTCATGCAACACATGAGCAAATGAACATTCAAAAGAATAAGTATATTATCTTCACATAACGTACAAAATAAACCATTCATAAATCATTTAATTCCAAATTACATTGATTTTAATCTTAATTATTTCTATTATAGCATACACATAAATTTTAATTATTTATATACGTGTTTTTATATAGATGCTCCCTGATTTATGGTGAGATTACATTTTTAAATTCATATTACACATATAGAGCACATTTTTTCATATCTCTGGGTGTATACAAACCATATTCATGCCATTCGTGTCTTCATACACGTATTTAGGGTAATGATGTTCACCTCATTCCACCATCTTTTCTACCTCCATACCCCCTCTCTTTCCCTCCCACTCCTTTGCCCTATCTAGAGTTTGCCTAACCCTCCCATGCTCTCCCTCCAAAACCCCCTATGAATTAGCTCCTTATATCAGAGAAAATATTTGACATTTGGTTTTCTGGGATTTGCTAACTTCACTTAGCATTGTATTCTCCATCTCTATCCATCCACCTGAAAGTGATTTTTTTTTAAGAGAGAGAGAGAGAGAGAGAGAGAGAGAGAGA